ATCAGCATCAGCATCAGCATCATTACTAGCATCGTCATCCTCATCATCATCATAATCACCATCATCCTCATCAGCATCAGCATCATCATCAGCAGCAGCATCAGCATCAGAATCAGCATCATGATATTGAGTACAATGAACATCATCCGTATCGTCGTCATCATCATCATCACCGTCGTCATTATCATCACCACCACCACCATCACCATCATCATCAGTATCCGAAACATCATCATCATCATCATCATCATCATCAGCATCATCGGCATCATCGTAATCATCATCGTCATCATCACCACCATCTTCACCACTACCATCATCATGTACATCCTCATCCTCAACATCATCATCACCATCACCATCATCATCATCATCATCACCATCATCATCAGCATCATCATCATCATGAACATCATCATTATCATCATCATCATCATAATCATCATCATCATCATCATCATCATCATCATCATCATCATCATGCAGAGCAGGAGCAGCAACAGCAGCATCATCGCACTCGGCCTTGTCACTCATGACACCTCCAAGGAGGTCAAGACGCCCCCCACTCATAGCTACCAAGAAGCTCCCAAGGTGCCACCAAGGGGTCTCAAAACGCCTCCTGGACGCGCCATGGTAGGGCACCCCGAAGTGTCTTCACGAGTCCATGCTGTGGCCTGCCCCTGCCTTGCCAACGTGCTGGCATCGCGATGACTTATTCTCGCCAACCCGCACCGATCCCCTTGCGCAATCACGGTAGCTCGCAACCACGCCTGCAATGCTCGCCCATTCCAGATCCCGTAAAGCACTGGTCGTTGCCTTTTGCCACGATCACTAAACGTCTACGGTCACGTGCCTTTCGGTCACGAGCCGCCTAAGGTCACATACCTTTCGGTCTCGAAACGTCTACGGTTACGAGCACTTCGGCGCTGGTCACGTCCCTTCGTATCGATTACTGCCTTTGGCCTGGACCTGCCCAATCATCTTTCCATGCGAATGCAATCAAGCCACTACTATGCCTAAGTAGGAGCGCAGTCCCTCTTTTGCGCCACATGTGCACCGGTGCGCGAGGAGCGCTAGAGGAACAACCGTGGGAAGACCTCAGGAACAGCGAGACCAGTCCGAACTCGAACTGTCCTTTTTGTTCAGTGTCTCGACTGTGCCTTTCCCTCCTGGCGACAGCCAGCCCTCGATGCGGGTGGCCTCACTGCGACCTCAGGCGAGGCTCTCCGCAGTTGAAGCACACGGATCCAAAAAGCGGATCGATCGGGATACGCATGTTGGACAGCGCGGATATCAACGAGTGTGTGTGTGTGTGTGAGCGTGCGTCTAGCAACATATGCTGTGCACTACTTGCTGTGCAATATAGGTATATATGTATATATATATATATGTGTGTGGTGCAATCAATGTGCTGCGCAGTATATGCGATGCAATCGACGTGGCGCAGTATACATATGAATATATATATATATATATATATATAGATATATACATATCGGAGGTGAGGGGGTGAGATCGAAGTGGAACGGAGAGCCCCCCTACCGGGAAATCGATTTCGGTTTCGTGTTCGCGCGTGCTGTGCGTGCGGGCGAGGCGAAGCTGCGTGGGCGGGCGAGAGAAAGTCTCCTGTGGCTGAGGCGCGGCCGGATCAAATGTTTCCCTTCCGGGCGGCCGGTGGCGCGCGGTGTCCCGCCGGTGTCCCGCTGGTGTCCCGTCTGTTCTCCTGTGGCTGAGGCGCGGCCGGACCAAATGTTTCCCTTCCGGGCGGCCGGTGGCGCGCGGTGTCCCGCCGGTGTCCCGCTGGTGTCCCGTCGGTGTCCCGTCGGTGTCCCGATGATGATGTGGATGATTATGATGATGATGATGATGATGATGATGGTGATGATGATGATGATGGTGATGATGGCGATGATGATGATGATGATGATGATGTTGGTGTTGGTGTTGTTGATGATGATGATGATGATGATGATGATGACGTCGATTGTGAGATCGATTGTGATATCGATAGTGAGACCGAATGTGAGATCGATTATGAGATCGATAGTCAGATCGATTGTGAGATCGATAGTCAGATCGATTGTGAGATGATGATGGTGATGATGGTGATGATGGTGATGATGGTGATGATGGTGATGATGGTGATGATGATGACGATGATGATGATGGCGTCGATTGTGAGATCGATTGGGAGTTCGACTGTGAGATCGATAATCAGATCGATTGTGCGATGCTGATGGTGATGATGGTGATGATGGTGATGATGGCCATGATGGTGATGATGATTGTGATGATGATGACGACGTTGATGATGATGATGATGCTGATGCTGATGATGATGACGATGATGATGATGATGTTGATGGTGATGTCGATGATGATGATGATGATGATGACGACGTCGATGGTGGTATCGATTGTGAGATCGGCCACTCGTCGCCACGGCTGGATTCGCCTCGAACCGTTTCCTCCTTCGTTGTCTCCCTCCGCTCTTTCCTCT